AACATGACAATGAAGCATGTCTTGACAGGTTCGTTGACTGTTTTTTGTAAAATACTGTATGATGCACAATGTCTATTGGTGTTCGGAAGCTCCAGCACAGTTGGACAACGATGGCCCCAGGTTGATGTCTAGCGACATGTCTATCCCGACGAAATTCATTACGCGCCTTTATGAATATAAGCGTGGCGGCACGCTTCAGTGAGTTCGCAAGTGAGGAGTATAAAGAGGCTGGGTGCATCACAGCGAACAAAATCAAGCAGAAATTGAAAAAAAAAATTGGTTGAAGGTCACAAAAAATTCACGATTTTTTTTTGATACAGTAATTTTTCAGTGTACGTGCGCTGAAAAGATTCATGTTCTCGGTTACGCATCACTAACTCACTTTCTGTATGAACACTGCAGGCACTGAATCGTCTTGATGCATAGAGCTTCCTATAAATACGCGCTAGTGTAAAATATGACGCTAGTGGCTATTGGTTTTGTGACCCATGGCACTTCAGCCAGCTTGGGAACGACGGGCAGTACACTGAGTTGTCTGAGCATCGTTCTGTCAGCTCCGTCTCCGTCCGTGTGGTGTGCATCCACTTGTCGCAAGAAAAAATCCAGCAAGCGTTCAATTCTAGTTCATCACCTTTACAATTTTCCGCTCAATTAATCAAGAACGGTCACGAAGTTCATAATGACCCATTTGGTTATGTGAAACAAAGCCACAATACAACAACAAAAAGCCGCAAGGGCGTTTGAAGCAGAAAGCGAGATGACCATGTGTATCCATGTACTGCCCATAATTTCTTTCGCGACTGAAAAATCACATCACCAGAGTTCCTTCTAGTTAATACTAGGAAACGCTATGCTTTTTTCGTTGGTCGTTGTACGGGAAAAATATGAACAGTGTTGACATATAGTGTACGATATGTCACGTGAATAATCGTCAAAACGGGACCGAACACGGAAAGTGCGTGCCATATAGGTATATCCACCACCGTTCTCTTACCACGGCAGTTAAGGGCATTCAGGTGCCGTTGCGTTATCGGCCGTCACAAGTGCCTATGTAAAAAAGGGTACGCATGCCTTGCACAATTAAGCAGCTTCACAAGTCAGCAACCGCTATATATACTGCACAAAACACAGTTAGGGCACTAAATATCGTCCGAAAAAAGAATCCTTCGAATAAACACTGCTGTGCAGCTCACGTGCACATGAAGCATGCTTTAGCACTTCCAGATCATGACTAGGGTTCAACAGAAGTTCAGCGAGGAAAGCTGTGCATAACCAACCATATCGGTAGCCGGTACACGTAAACAGAAAATTTCTAGTTAGAACGAAAACGTGACATTAAAAGCTTGTTTGACAGAGCCGCTGTAATTAGCAATTCACATGTTTAATATCTTCCAATCATTTACACACTTTGCGCAGAGTGTATACGAGCCAGTAAATGATGTCAACGAGTTAGTTAACCGTCTGACTGCGCTTGTACAAAATCACCGATCGGTTTTCAATCCCTTCCATTTCAGTATTACGTATTTCCATACATTTGGAGGTCAACATAATAATGTCACTTGAATTACGTGGTGTTGACCTCCGTATTGTGCTTAAAATAAGAATCTTCGTACAGGACATTTCACTTGGGACTCTTCGTTATATATCATGATGACGGTGTTGTTACTGTGACATACTATACCAGAACTTTTATGTAATGTGTCGGAAAATTCTGAGGTTGGGGTAACTGCTATAATTTTCTGGCTACTACTTCTTTTTTAACAGACGTATTGAGATTAAAGACATTACTTATGGCATTATTTAGGGAAATTCTCTTAACCATTGTAGTTAGATGAGTGGATTTTCGGGTGGTAGAAATGAATGAGTTCTTACGAAGGGCATATTGTCTCTTCAATATCTTGGAAAAGCAGCCTTCGGTAACTTTGAAGATTTATGATGTCTTAATTATTTCGCCGACTGAGGCGGAACGAAATGCCAAAACTTTTCATACTCCCTGAAATTACTCAGAAAAGTCAGGCGTTTAAAAATGAGGCATCAATGCTCATCGCCTCGTCTGTGTATCTGCTTCATTTGTCGCGTGATCTAACGCATGTGACTCGTGCGTTATCAAATGCGGAGATAGCGCCGCTGACCGTTACTGGAAACAGTGAAGTCATGGTGATCGTGCTTTATGATACGTTAGCTGTGGTCTTCAGATCTGCAGTTTTCAGATTTTCGGGCGAAGATGGCATACAGTCATCACTCTGGCAAAGTAGACATTCGTAGCTCTTTGAAAATCCTAACGGGTGAGCGTTTTTTGCACGAAAGACTTGAGGCGTTTTTTCACCTGAAAAAGCCAATAGCATTTCCCCTGACATTGAGGAAAAATGCACTTGTTTGCTACTTACAGTATACTTAGGCCTGCTCAAAGACTTTTTTTGCCGGTATGTTTTTTGCCACTAAATATGCCAAGTATACGTTGTGACTGTAGTTTACATAGCCGCATAAAATCAGTAATCAGTAGCGAAATTTATAGTTGCCTCATATGTATGAAAATATTTCATTCCTGCTTGAGTCACCTCGTAGAACAGGTGAGAAATGACTGGAACGTACGGTATGGCAATATTTTGCGTTAGTATCATGCTATTGAAGGTATATGTAGAGGTAGGTCCTAAACATTTGGCTGACACCCACCCTGTGCGATTGAAATACCTTAAAATATTGACCCCGTATCTACATGTTTGACTGAAAATGTCATGGAAAGAGCTTAGTTTTGCGTCTGGAGAGATTGAACAGGACGTTGACTTGACGTTCTGCGCGAAGGAATTGGTTAATCAAATTTTGGAGCCGCTGCGTTAGAGAGTCTCAATCCGTGCAGCGAAAGTGAACGAGCACATCAAGGCACGTTGGGCACAAGCGCTATGTGGCAAAATGAAGGAAGGTATGCGCGCCTGTCTTGGAGGCGATATGGCCTAGAACGCAAAACGACGGGCAGATGCCACCACCGTGTCGTCTTAGCAAAACGTTGAAACACTTGCCTTCTTCAGCATCGCGTTGTATTGTCAGCGCAGCGTGATAAATGCTATGGTCCTTAGAATTACTTAGGTATACCTTTTATAGTATAGAGACACACATAAAACATATTGACGTTTTGTTATGGTACCTCAGATATGCGCAATATTTGCATTTTAAATCACAGTCATACATGTGGGTGGGTGTAAATGCTCGCGAAGAGAAAAACTTCTAGTTCAGTAGAACAAAAATATTCAATTTTTTGAAGGTCTAGAACATTGTTTCAGCCCTTATTCTGAGTACGTTTTATGCCGCACCGCCGTGGTGGACTTGTGGTCCCGGCAACAGTTTTTTTGCATTGTCAGAAAACGCTGCCGATTGGTAGTAGCGGCTCCGGACAACACGCGAGTCAAATAATATAGCGCAGCACGCGGCCTAGAATTCACAACTAATTATCAAAGTCAGCTAATAATTGCTTTCTCTTCTCTCGACAAGTCACGTTAAATGCGCAAAAAGCGCACGTTAGTAACGCATCTATCAGACATTAGCTGTTTTGATTATGGCGCACTCGCCCGTTACAGAGATCACCATGGGAGACCGCCACTTGTCAACGCGTGCGGGCACGATCACACTGAAAAAGCCGCGCATTTGAAGAAAACAAATTAAAAAAACGTGCACAAGGTGGTGAAGTGCGCGTGACGTTTTTCTGTTGCCCTGACATCCCTCATCCAGCGCTTTCGTAGTGGCGAGAAAAAAGAGAATGCAATAGCAGCATGCGACAAACTTTTCTAACTCCACTCGCACTGGACGGATTCTTAAAACTTTTGAATTCATGAGGCAATTAGCTCTTAAAGTGAATTCATTCCACAGTTATTTGAAAAGAAAATGTTTCAGGACCCCTTTAAAGTATGCGTCTGCTGACCCGTAGGTCGCGGGATCAAATCCCTGCTGTGGCGGCTGCAGTTTCAGTGGAGGCGAAAATGATGTAGGCCCGCGTGCTCATACTTGGGTGCATGTTAAAGAACCCCAGGTAGTCGAAATTTCTGAAGCCCTCTACTACGGCGTCTCTCATGAACATACGGTGATTTTAGGACAATAAACGCTACACATCATCATCATCTCTGTTTATGCCGGGCTTTCGGATCACTTATTGGAATAGATAAGTAGCCAATATCTTCATTTCATGTCCCTTTAATTTTAAATATACTGAGCCAAGGGAAGGTAGGCATAATGCTGCGGCTCGAAACTAGAAAATTTACTTAGAGGCAGAAAACTAGAAAATTTGGCCTGTTACTTTTTACATGTTAGTATTCAATGCAACCTCATGACGTTCAGTAAATGTCCACTTGCGCTAAAAAAACTGACTGGGGAACGTAAACACAATACTAAAGCAATTACCACCTCAATGAAACGGATTGTATGAAACTATGCTAGTTCTTTTAGTGACGATTGTTGACGAAGCGTGGATTGAAAGAATGTGTCTCACTTTGATTGAAACAAAAGCTGCGTTTGGCTCGTTTTTGATCATAAACAACCTTGCAGAGTTCCCGTTAAAACCAGATATTGCCCAATTTTGATTCCAAGATGTTTGGCAAGGTAAGGAGACTTAGGTGCTATACGCTGCTAAGGAATCCATTTTAGTTTGGGCCTGTGTATTGGTTTCCTTATGAAAAAAATACCCCACATTTGAAGTTCCCGGCTTCACCACGCTGAATATCTCCAGCAATGTAGAATGTAACTATTTTCATTTTTATTTTTGACATTTTCTGGAATTTCTGTCATCACACTAAACTTCCTGCTAGCATATAAAAGTAAGTATAAAAGGGGCGAAGAAAAATTTATGAGCATAACGACGTCATGCCCTCTAATAGCATTTTTTGCCAACAGTAACGTGTAAATAAATGTGAAAAATAAATGTAGCAAATAATTGGTCTCAGGTATAAAAGTTGAATAGTTAGTGTCTAATTGTTCGAGATGTCAGCAAAGAGACACTCAAATGTAATACTCACTGAGTTGAACAATTCTTCACAATATTCACGTATACTCCTTACGGTCGAAGGGGGATGAGGATGATAATTTGTGTCGAAGAAAAGGCCTATCTCTATGTGCCACTGCAATTGATTGCAGTACGTCGAGCCTAAAAGTGATGAAGGAAACCGTAACTAAGCAACATTACTTACTACCGAATAAAAATCATTGATATATATGCAGGTAAGTAGCTTATAATGCATTTACAATTGTTCAATTGGAATAAACGCGCAATTTACACTCGTTTTGGTACAAGCCAATGGTGGCTGCACCATAGTGGTATTCATGCAGCATTCACAAAGACACATAAGCACTAAGTTTAGAAACACAAACTAACGCAAAGTGCAACGTAATTAGCCACAAGCGCCTTCGAGAAACCTTGTTATGGTACGTTGTTATGATAGCAGTAACTTCCGCTTTTAATGACCTATTTTATCTGGAGCTGCTTTATAAAAAATTAGCTTCAAATGAGACAAGTGTTTAGCGCATGATAAAAAGTAACTGTGCGAAAAAGCTATATCCAGTGGAAAAAACATAGCAATAACAATATAGGCGCTGATTCTCAGCTAATTTATTCAAACTAAAAGTAACATATATGCAGCCTAAAACGCTGTAAATGAAAACATATAAGCCAAAAACGCGAGGGTAGCATTTCTAGTGACAAGTACAATTACGAAATGTGACTACATGTGACGAAAGCTTACTGAAGGTTGGCTTTTGATCCTTTTTCTTTTTAAGAGCAACATGAGATGTTTTGCATTTCCTACGTCGTTTTCAAAACTTATGATCGTAGAAAACTGCTTTTTTTCTAATTATGACAAGCACGTGAATTAGGAACAATGGGTTGACGCTTAGCATACTTGTTCTTCCTCAAAGAACACAGATGTTTCTAAGCCTCAAACTATCGCAGTGGCGCATTCGCTTAGTGTAGGCACGTTTGCAGTGCGAGAGAAAGCGGTATACTGCGTTCATATTGATAATAATTAACACTCTTTTTTGCGTGTCCAAGCTTAGACAATTTTATTCTGCTCGTGCTCTCTCCTCTTATAGGTCCTTTCGACAGGCAGGTAAACAGAACGCAATATATCCGAAGTGGAAATGACTACTGCACACCGTGCCAAGCCTCTACATTTTTGGGACCATGAAACTTATGAACCTAAGACATAACCACAAGGTTATTTTCCTCCTGTGCTTATTTTTGTTTTCAAATGCATTTCACCATTGTGACTAACTCATTCTCAACTTCCTAAAGCAAGATATTGTGGTTAGCCAGGACCGTCGTCTGACAAGGCAGACATATTAGTTGTATGTTAACACGACCTATGTATAACTCAATACCTGCTGGACACGAAGGTCGTCATCTTCACATGTTGTAATGGTTGTAGCTCTACTTTGGTGGAAATAGTGATAAATAAACAATGGAAATATTGCCAGAAAACGAGATCTTCGAGCAACCATTGTCTCACTTAATCAAGCTCAACATTCATGCCTAATTGAAAATCATCAGTACGTGCTCTATTTCTCCTAGGCAGTCTCCTTTGCTAACGAACAAAATACAGTTGTCCACAAGACGGGGAACTTGGTGGCTAAATCTTTGTGTCAATGTTTCAAATCCTCAACCACTACACTTTACACCATATGCAGTTTCCACGTCTTTTATTCACGCTTTTTTCGCCCATCCTATTTTTGTAGAGTGAAGAAAGCAAGACAGGAATTCTCGAAAGATTCTCATGTTAAGCGCACTATTTATAACAAATTAACTCATTTTTTTGCACACTACATGGCTTAATCATGCGTAATGATACTTATTGTGACAAGAAGTAATAGTAATCTTCGACATGTATAGCCTACAGACCCCGTAGGATCATTCAGCCACAGAAAGTCGAGGGCACTCCTCAAGTTCGGTATAAGCAAGGGGTCCTTAAATTTTGCGAAAAAAAGTAGTCTTCTGAAACTCCGGCGAATTAATGTTTCCACGTCGTTCAAGCTGAAGCTACAGTTCTCAACGATAATTCAGGCTTGTGAGTCTTTACCATGAAAATGAGATGTTACTGCAGCTCTTTCCACTATTAACACTCCTTGAATGTTTGTCCAGATTAAGGTCGTACAGTGAGGTTGCTGCCTTTTCCTTCATCCTTATTTGGCGAACGTCCTTTTCTGAGACGTGTGTTTAAGAAAAAAAGGTGGCTTTTTCATGAACCATGCGTTGCGTAACCACCACAAAAAAGCCTTCTTTGTTCTAAACTATTCGTTATTCATTGCTAGCAAGAAAATTGACGTTCCTTTGTCCCTCATAAATTTTCGCTCCAGCGAATACACCTACCTACTTAGCACACCTTCGTTAATTGGTCGCCCTCTGATGAGGTTCCTGCAATAGATCTTGCAGGTCACGCGTTTTCTACTCAACCAAGTGAGGCTCGAAGCAATGCTTGAGTTCTAGCGGTAGCAGCGTTCTGTTTCATCCGGAACTGTAGCGACAGAAAAGGCTGTGCCCACGAAATACAATGCAACCAAAGTGGCGGACCAAGAGCCCCCAAGGTGCATTAAAAATTGCATAGATGTTTGCGCATAGACCACAGCTTTGACAAAAAAAAAAGGTTTCACTGCCTAAGAGTTTCTGTGCAAAACTACGCTCACATGATACTCACCTATATGAGAAGTGAACGCAAATGCTAGGAAAAGAGCCTGAACATGCGATAACTTTGCCGTATTCATTGAAACTGCATCGACCCACATGCAGGGCAACACTTGCGGACATCTGAAGCTTTCCTTGTCGCGTGAGCTAACAATGGGTTTATAGAAAGAATTACGGTGACAATGGTTATATTCTTATTTGTTCGGTACTTCGGAAACGCGAAGTATTTGAAAAGTTTATTCAAGTCAATACGAGTTCTTGGAAACGAATCTGTCTCGCCATTGTGTAAACCTGAAACTTCGCTTGTAAAATTCATTTTTACGCAATATTTCTTCATTGAAAATATGTGATGAAACAAGTTCTAGGAACAATACAGGCAGCTCACAACGTTACAAGCTTTTATAAGTCATATCACCAGAATTTATGCAGCATTATGTTTTTACATAGAATGACTTAGCACAGTTGCTTGACGCGAGCGTTATCCGCGGTGCTCAAGAAGAATACACGTTTTCGGCGCCGATTGTTTCTGGTTATAAATACAATACCAACTTTGTTTATTGCGCTAACTACGCACTGAGATAACTACATTTTAGGGGCTAAGCTCCTTATAGCGGCACCCGTTTGTCCCTCGTAGTCGTAGTGTGTAACCAGTCTTGCGTTTTGACCTGAAAAGTGGTGCCGGTGGGAGATTTCTCCTCTGCGTTGTTGAGCAATAAAAAATTCGTAGCGTGCGAATTTTTCCCTCTCCCCCGACCGCCACCAGTCCTAGGAAAACTAGCGGACGCGGCTTCTAGAGGTTAGCCTGCCTTGACGACCCGACCCGAAATTTCTCTACGCATGCTACCTGGGCACAAGAACTTCATCAATGTAAATGTAGACGGCACACCTGCTATAGTACTGTAGCAATAGCACTGATTGACACTGGCGCTCACATATCTGTAATTACCTCTGGTTTTCGTGCTCGGCTACAGAAAGCGCTTACGCCTGCCCCTATCACTGTAGCCCGAGTAGCTGGTGGAGCAACGTCAACTGTCACTGGTATGTGTGCCGCCCGTGTCACTGTAGCTGGATGTCATACTTCTGTTTTGTTTTGCGTCTGGACCACTGCCCACATGAAATCATTCTAGGATTTGATTTTTTATCGCAGCAATCGACCACACACTTCGACCCATCTGCTGCCATGAAGCTCCGTATTGACGCCAGTGGCCACGGCATATATAGGCGCAGTGCTGGCGCAGTGGCAACAAGAAATGCACCACGTCGTCGCGTACGCAAGCCGACTGTTGTCGCCCTCGGAACAAAATTATTCGATCACAGAACTCGAGTGCTTAGCTCTCGTCTGGGCCACTGCGAAATTCCGACCGTATCTGTATGGCCGACCATTGTCAGTCATTACAGAACACCATGCGCTTTGCCGGCTCTCCTCACTCAAAGACCCTACGGGACACCTTGGTCGCTGGGCGCTGCGCTTACAAGGGTACACTTTTTCCGTATCCTATAAATCCGGAGAACTTCCCAAGGATGCTGACTGCTTGTCCCGTTACCGAGTCAATCCCCCTGACATGATGGAAGATGGACGAAAGCCCCTCGTTCTTTCAATTACCGACTTCACCAACATAGCTGCTCAACAACGCCGCGACCCGTCTTTGCGTGCTATTATGAATGGTCTGCGCTCTCCCCCCCCCCCCCCTGACCACTCCTTACAACTGTTCGTTCTTCACAACGACATCTTGCACTGCTACAACACCCGCCCAGATGGTGCTGAGCTTTTACTCGTTGTTCCTGTGCATCTTCACTCAGACGTTTTGGCCCAGCTTCATGATGCCCCCTCCGCTGGACACCTGGGGGTGTCATGCACAAATGACCGCATTCGCCACCGATTCTTTCAGCCTCGCCTCTACCGTTCTGTGCGACAGTACGTTGCGGCATGCGACCTCTGCCAGCGCCGCCAGACACCTGCTCTGGGACCTGCTGGTACCCTCCAGCCAATTCAAGTACCAGATGAGCCATTTTTCCGAGTCGGCCTTGATCTTCTAGGACCTTTTTCCCGTGTCGACCACCGGTAATAAGGGAGTGGATTGCTATTGCTACCGACTACACAACGTGTAATGCTGTTACACGCGCCCTCCCCACCAGCTGCCCTACTAATGTAGCCGATTTCCTTTTTCATGACAACATTCTGCGTCATGGTGCTCCTCGTCAGTTGATCACTGACCGTGGCTGCTGTTTTCTATCTAAAGTAGTCGACGAGCTCCTGCGATCCTGCTCTACCCGCCACAAGTTCCCTACAGCGTAAAACCCACAAACCAACGGCCTCACGGAACGCCTGGACCGTACCTTGACAAATATGTTAGCGATGTACGTCTCTAAGGATCTGTAAGATTGGGACATCTACTTACCTTTCGTTACCTTCACATACAACAGTTCACGTCATGATACAGCTGGATTTTCACCTTTTTACCTACTCTTTGGTTATGACCCGCTTTTGCCCATGGACACCATGCTCTAATCTGACGCCCCCTCATCGACTGCTTATGCTCGTGATAACCTGGCCCGAGCTGACACCGCCCGCCAAGTCACCCGGGATCTTTTATGTGCCTCGCAGCTTGACCAAAAGAGTGCTTACGATCGCCGGCACCATGACGTTGTTATGACCGGCGTCAGCAGGCGCCATGCTGTCGCTGAGAAGCGTAGCCGGGCCGCGTTCCCACGCCTGGAACTCCAGTATTCTCGGAACCAGCGTCCAGAGATGACGGGGGAGCGGCGCTCTTTTAATCCCCAAACAAGTAGCCGACTCGCCGAATGTCTATGCTCGCCGGCTATTGTCCCTGCTAGCCGGCGGATGAGACGTCCTGTCGCCACGAAGCTGTAAGCCGTTCCGGAGGGGACAACAAAGAGCGTATTCCTTTGAAGAAACGGCGACCGCCGCCACAAAGTGCCCGGCTAATTGAGCGGACCGTTTGGCGGACCGTTTGATGTCTGCTGTCCGAAGCTTGGGACCCCTCGACCAGCGACATACACGACGAGCAAGAGCCTCTCTGGCGCCACCTTTAAGTGCAGTGATCTTGACTCGAAATTGGATGTTCACGTGCGCCGTGCCTGCTCGTACCTTGCACCGATCGTGTGTGTGTGATTGGTGTTCCCCGCAAGAAGGAGGAGCCCGACAGGGCTTATAAGGACGCCGCTGAGTGCGGGACGTCGCTCTGAACCAAGAAAAGGTTTAACCACCACGCTCGTGGTTTGTGAACTCTTAACCTCATGCTGTAAATATTTGTAAATAGTGCCATAAACCTTGTTTGTTTTTCGTATCCCCATCTTGTAAGCGGTCGTTTCCTCAACCCGAAGCTACACCACGCTACCACAGCACCCCGGGATCACGACAACTGGTGATCAGCGGTGGGATCACGACAACTGGTTGGCATCGGTGGGATACGACTCAGCACCCCGAGTTACAACAACTGGTTGGCAGCGGTCGGATTCGAAGCTACAAGTGACAACAACAGTCGGCCCAGGAGAAGCAGCTGGCTCGAGACATGGATCACGTATGGGTGAGTGCTTGGCTTTTCCTTTGAGTGAACCAGGTTCTAAAAGAGGGTTAAATTTTGGAACTGGTAGTTAACTTTGCCGAAAGACTCAGTTTCGCCGTTTCGGAAAGTTATTTTGGAAGTAGCGAGCACTCAGTACGATCATGGACTTACGGGAGCTGCAGAAGTCAGACTTGTTGCTGTTGTGTGAGGAATTGGGGATCGATACAAAGGGTTTGGCACGAAAACCCATAATCATTCAAGCGATTAATGATTTGGGGGCTGATGACGAGGAACTAAGTGAAGAATGGGACCTCATCATCGAAAGAAAACTAAGAGCAGCTCAGATGGAAGGAAAGAGTGAACACGAAAGAGAAAGCCTCAAGCTAAAGTTTTTCAAACAAGACTATGAGTTGAGTATGAGGTTGGGACGCCAGCAAGGAGTACTCGAAAATGAGGCAGAGTTCGAGATGTCTAGGTACATGCAGCCATATGAGGTATCATGGGATATGGGCCTGTATCTTAGACTCTTTGAACGAAAGTGTAGTCAACTTAAGTGTGAGCGAGACACCTGGTCTCAGAGGCTACGCACGGTTCTGCCCTGCGAGGCAGCGGATGTTGTTGCGCGACTCAGTGAGCAGCACGCGAACAACTACGAAGTTGTGAAAGCAGAGCTAATCAGAAGATTTGGAACTTCTATTAGCAAAAAGAAAGAAAGACTCGCACCGGAGTCTGAAAGCGATGCGCGTCGCAAAGCGCCGGAAGTTGAGGCGCCTGGTAAAGCGCTTGAAACAGATATCGCGCCAGAGAAAGGCCCGCGTATTCTCGAATGCATCGATGTAGAGCATGCAGAGAACGAGGCCTTGGCCGGTCTCGAGGTAGGGACGATGTCGAAAGACGCTCCTTGCGTGGATGAGGAGGGTGCCAGCAGCCCTGATGGGCCCAGTAAGAGGCTGGAAACCTTCTTCATGCCTCAAGAGGACCTTTGGACATTGTCAAAAGTAGGCATGGTTAGCGCAGTGGCTGATGAGAGCAAGAACGCCATGCTTCAGCAGTGCAGCCCTATTATCGAGGTGATTTGCGAACATCGCAGAAAAAAGAAGAAGCGGAGGCGTTCGTCACTGCGCAAGCCTAGGTCGGGCCCCACTCCGTCCCAACAAAGAAAGGGTAGGCCACTAATCCGTTTAAGGAAACGTCAATGGTGGCGTTCAGGAAGACCGAAGCGGCGAGCCAGATTTGGAGGGGGAAAAGAAGGTGCGTCACCCCAAGGAAAGGCGCGGTTCAGTTCGACGACTTCGGGAAAGCGGCCTTGCCCGAAGGGTCAAAGTCGAAAGGACAGAGTGGCTAAATACCGCGCAGGGGTGAATACAAAAAGAAAATGGCACAGGCTCCCTCCGAGCTACTGGCGTCACTTTCAAATTCCTGAGGGGAACAGGCCAAAGTGGAAAATGAGGCGTGACGGCAGTGCACTGCTTAGAGTTTGTGCATTTAGTAGCCTCAGGCCTGCTGGAAAACAGCCGGGACCGCGACCCCATCGTGTACGATTAAAGGAACCAAGAGAAAAGGGGGTGGTCAGATTGAGTAACACATG